TTTGAAAACAGCTTGTTATTGAAAAGCAGTGAAGTTAAAACACAGCAAATTGAAACACTGCTTTGATAATTGCACCGGCGGGATTAGAGGAAAGAGTTTTTGATTTGTGAAGCGGACTATTGACAGCACTTCATGTCCATGTAGTATTAGTATCCTCTATAAGAACAGAGGGTTTTGGTCAAGGGGGTTCAGGAGAAGTAAAGATGCAAAACAAATTATTCAACACTGTATGTACATTTTAATATTGTTTTATACACTGTTGGAGATTCTTAGTCATCCAGGTCATAATCATTCCAAAAAGTTAAAGTTTGAAAAACAATCCATTGGACTTCGTTTTCCAAGTTTGAAGATGTTTCGCTTCCCATCCCGGAAGCTTTCTCAATTCAAAATGTCTGGATTAGGGTTGAGTTCCAGAAGCCCAACAAAGCCTTTAGAAAACATGCAAATTGAAAAGGTCCATTGGTCCTGTGGATTTTTTTTTTTTTTTTTTACATTTTTTGGGAATTTATATAGTAGCCCAACAAAAACCTTGTAACTGCTTAGAAAACATGCACATTGAATTGAGAAAGCTTCCTGGAGAGGTGGCGAAACGTCTTCAAATCTTGAAAACCAAGTCCAGTGGATATTTTTTGAATTTTTACGGCATGCACATTGAAACCCGAGAACCAGCTCCACCCCTTAATAATGGGAGCCATTTAGGTTGTAATTGGCCTGCAATACCCGATAATGGCCCATTGCTCTGAAAAGGCAGTCGTTAAGGGTCATTGTTGGCCTGGCTGACCTGGTGAGATAGACCAGGTCAACAGAATCTTGTCCAGACAAGATTCTGTTGACCTGTTGACCTTCATGCCCCTCTCTGTGGTTTGAGAGGGGCATGAAGGAAGCCATTTATGTTAAAAGAGAAAAACCAACCTTAAACAAAGGGGGTGGACTCAGGTTTCAGCTCTCAAAAACCAAAAACGCAGCGATACAGTTGATTCCTTCCCAATACAATCTCAACCCCCATCGATATGCAGGGGACAAAATATCTCACCAGGTCAGCCAGGCCAACAATGACCCTTAAAAGGCATACTATGCAACATTTTTCAGTTAATTAATGTGTTCCATAACGTTTTGGATGATTAAATGAGTCATTTCAGGTCGAACAAAGGTTTTCTCGGCCGCCCTGGTGGTCTGTAGGGGAAATACCGTACTTGCAATAGCAGGAGCCCTCGGCCCGCACCCACAGGCTCAGAAGTCTCGTGCATCACGAGAGTCGGTCTTGCTTTACGGCGAGAACTGCTACACGCCCCCAGTGAAAGGCATGCTCGTTGCTAGCGCAGTGGCGATAATTGTGCAGTTATCATGGCGGAACCAGCGAGAAAACAGCGAAAGCCCATGTTGGAGCAGGCAAGAAAGAGGAAAAGGGCTCTCTACCGCAGTAGACATGGTGATTCGTTGCGTTCGCCTGTCTGCTAAGCTTAAAACAAAGGCACCTGGCTTGACGGAGAAACCAGGAGAACAGATGAGCATATTTACGACAGTGCACTTTTACTTTCGCCCTCTGGGGGCAGCCTCGCTGAAAAATCAACACCGGTTGCATAGTATACCTTTAACGACTACCTTTTCAGAGGAATGGGCCAGTATCGGGTATTGCAGGCCAATAACAACCTGAATGACTCCCATTATTAAGGGGTGGAGCTGGTTTTCCAGTTTCAATGTGCATGTTTTTTAAACCATTACAAGGTTTTTGTTGGGCTACTCTAAAAAACCCCGGAACTCAACCCTAATCCAGACATTTTGAATTGTAAAAGCTTCCTGGATGGGAGCGAAACGTCTTCCAACTTGGAAAACAAAGTCCAGTGGATTGTTTTTTAAGTTTAACTTTGTGAATTGTTTTATACAGCTTTTAATTCTCTCAAGTGCGTATTGCATTGAATTGATACCATTTAATGAAATCAATGGCTCCTTTTAGAGTCACTTTACTGTATATATGGTAATAGATGGAAGTTATAATGTAGGATGAATGATAAAAATCAGTGGAAAATTTTGTTTTTTGTAGATATGGGAGCAGAATAAAGTATATTTTCATTACATTAAGATTAAATGGAACATTCCTCCAGCTTACCTCACTAATTTACCATACTTTATTCACATCTATATGTGGGCATATTTCAGCCACTTTACAGTATATCTCTGTCCTTGTATTTGTAAGGTAGCATAAAGTCAAATTTTTATGGTTAATGTGCTTCATGTAAATAAAGCCTCATTTTTCTCTGCGTGGGTTATCTCAGCTCAAATCTGCCTCATCACTTTGCTACCATCATCATCAATGCACAAATTCCTTTCATTCACCTGAAGGTTATGACCTAAAGGATTAAGTTTAAATGTTAAAAGAAAAAAAATGAATATAGCATCAACCCTTCATTGCAAGAGCACATAAATACGTCTCTTTGCTTATTTAATCCTAAATTAGTTCTAGTCTACTGCCATTCAAAATCACAACAGACGAAAATTCACGAAATCCTGCTTACATAGACAAACAACTTGGGGGAAACGTGACTTTCTGACATTAAAAGTAGAGGAAAAAATTACCAGAGTAAGAGATGAAGAAGTTGGACATTTACTAATGAACAGAAGATCGTAATGAAAGGAGTCTAAAATGTAATAGAGACGTGAAGATGAAACAAAGCTTCTTTTTTTCTGCCTTGAATCAGATGAAACACACTGACTAATGCACAGAAAGCTATTATATGACTGTTCCTGTGGCTGCAGGCAGCAGATAGCCTAATAACAGCCACCAGAGAAAATGTTGACTTCGGATCACTAGCTTGTATGTCACAACATCTGCATCGGTGTGTAATCACACATGAGATAATTGCTCAATCAATTTGCTAAAGATACACTATTAAGTCATTAGTACAAAGGTCACTTTTCTGTTAATGTTTCAGACCTTTCACACATAACTGTTAAAGAGACAAAGAGAGCCACTCCGCCACACACAGTAATTTCTATTTCTACAAAATAAAACAGTATTTTCAGAGAAGCAGACTCTGAAAACTCAACACAGCTTCACAGAAATGTTTCAAACACTTTTAGGCATGAATATTTTAAACATTTAGTCATTTACGTGATATGATGTATGAGAGATGTTTTTTTTGGCAGTGTGAAGAAGGCAGGGGCACGTCCAGTGCATAGCAGGACAACTCAGAGACCTACAGCCTGCTCACACACCTACAGAGAGTCATGGGAATCTGGAGAGAAGCTATTCATAAATGGGGAGGACAGGTAAACTCCTTGCAGAAAGACTCTAGGATGGGATTTAAACCAAGGACCAGTGTTGCCAACTCCTCAGTAAGGAAAGTAGCTATTAGCTGTGCTAAAAGTCGCTAAATGACGTCATCGCCTAATTTGCATAAAAACATATTATATAGTGTTTTTACTCACTGTCCATTAATGTTTATTTATTTATTTTATTTTTTGATTTATATTTTTTAATTATTGTGATCAATTTGCGCCGTCAATCCTGGCGCATGCACGCTTCATTTGCAGTCTGGACGCTGAGGGTAAACATCCTGCGGCTCTGACTGCGGCGCTGAGAGGGACTCCTGCGGGAGCCAGAGAACGGGGTTGGGATGGGGGAGGCGCCCCACGGCAGCAGCTGCCGCTGGAGGACAAGAGTAGGAACGATACATGCTTTGACGTAAGAGTCTCCAAAGGCCGCCAGTGACACCGTAAAAAGTCGTCAGATTTGTCGCTAGTTGCTTTTTTGAAAAATAGTCGCTGGAGGGGTCTGAAAAGTCGCTAAATATAGCGACAGTCGCTGAGTTGGCAACACTGCCAAGGACCTCCTTACTGCTAGGCAACAGTGCTACAGACTGTGCCACACAATCTTTAATGCTGACCGCAAGCAGCAGAAGCAGCTAGTTTACATGCAAAGTCGATGGTCGACGCACATCAAGACGCAGATAAAGGTCTTGAAGCGTTTTGAGCAGCAGGAGCAGCTCGTCATGAGTTTCTGAGCATCTGTTGTCTGCACCGAGCTTCAGAAGCAGCAGCTGATGGAGTCGGAAACACTGAACTTTAGCTGCTGGACGCGCCTCATCAACCAATCAGAGAAGCTGATCTGGGAGCTGGCAGGGAGTCATACACAGCACTGCTGATGCAGAGCGCTATGATCACTCCTCTGAAACAGTTTATTTACGCCTAAATTGACTTAAAATGGAGAAACCTGCCGGCAGAATATGTTTGACTTTATTATTCTGTTGCCCGGATTACGTACGTAAAAATTGCCATCCAGCCGCCACCAACAGTAGCGGAAAACCCCCAAGAGGCGACCAGGCCGGAGGCAGCTGCTGCTGGGGATTCCCAGTGACAGCGCAGCGCCGGTATGTGGGGGTCTGAGCGGCTCCCACAGAGAAATAATCTTTGAAGGCAGGATGGTAATCTGGATGAACTGACTGCACAGACTATGTTTTCAGGAGGACTTTCTCACTTAAAAATATATTAAAACTACTTTCCCCCACTGATCACAGCAAATATAGCTGCCATTGTTCCAGGCAAAGAAAGGATAGGGTAGCTCCGCCTACCGCTCAGCTAGTGCAGCAAAGATACTTCAGCCGCACGTCAGAACTAAATATCTACAAGCATAAAAAATAAAGCAGCACGCATGTTTTTGCTGCTCCTGCTGTGCGCGGTCTGAACATAAGTCTTATTGTTAGCCTGCAGCAGCTCTGCTAGCAAACAGCCACACACCATAATCCTGCCACTAATAACCTTGCAAGAAGAGGCAGGACTTCGTTTCCAAAAACTGGTGGTCAAGTCTCCAGAGTTTACGGTGGCATTAAGGTGCAAACATTTGCAACGTTTGTAACACTTTGCATTGCTGATAAAAACAGGAAGGAGGGAAAAAGATACAGAGGGAGGCTCACAAAGGACTCCAAGAAAAAAGTCACAAATCACAAAAATACAAAGGACACAGGTTTGAGGAATCAAAGGTAATCTAGTCAGATGCAACTTACTGATCACATAGTCTCCAAATGGATCCTCATTGTCGTCATCATCAAGGTAAACTGAGAGAAAGATGCCGGAAAACAAGAAAAGAAAGGAAATAAGAAAATAATAGAAAAAAAAAACAAATGATTGTAGTAAATCAACAAAGGAAACTCAGCTTACAGAAAAAAACAGAATAGAAAATTAATAAAATAAATAAATAAATAAGTAAATATATATATATATATATATATATATATATATATATATATATATATATATATATATATATATTAGTGCTGTCAAAATTATCGCGTTATTATCGCGTTAACGCGAGGCCATTTTAACGGCGATAATTTTTTTAACGTGAGATTAACGCTATGTGGTTTTATGGTACAATTTTCCAAGTACATCCCGCTGCAGCCTGCGGAAAGGCGGGGCTATTTTCCCCCAGTCTATGCATTTCTCATAGGCTTCGAGAGCGGATCTCCTCAAGGAAAAAAGACGCTCATACACTGGGTGACGCTAGTGCCTTTTCTTTAAGCCCCACCACCAACAAACAAGTTGAGTGTCTGGTAACTAGTAGCAACCTGAAATACGCTGAGAAAACAGATTACTGAGGTGAAATGGAATCTGCTACGGCACTATTGCTGTCTATGTAGGCCACAGGTCGGTATCGTGTGTGTGTGTATGTGGGTGTGTCTGTGTGTGGGTGAGTGGGTGTGTCTGTGTGTTCTCATTTTTGTTAAGAGGCTGAAAAGTAACTTTCTAGAGCATAGACTACCTCCATCTAGTGATGTCGGTCTATTGATTTTGATGTATTGATTGAAAATTGTTCATTATTACCTTGGTTAATTAACATCTAATGTTAACTCTACTGCATTTTATAGCAGTAGGGTAAAATGCTTGTCTTTGTTCAAAAGACTGTATTAACTGTAAAGACTGTCTTTTACATCAGCCTGTTTTCAGGGCCTTTTTTCTGGCTACATATTTGTTATTTTTTGCTACATGCCTCCCCATCTTCTTGCCATATGTTTCTATGGCATAAATCAGTGTCTGTGACCTGTTTTCATTTAAAAAAAAGAACATTGGCACAAACCTAGCCTGTATGTATTTTTTGTATGTCATCGAGAGTATTTAAATGATTTTCAATCAGAAAAAAAATGTGCGATTAAAATGCGATTAATCGCGAGTTAACTCAGGCATTGATGCGATTAATCGCGATTAAAAAATTTTTATCGATTGACAGCACTAATATACACTATATTGCCAAAAGTATTTGCTCACCCATCCAAATTATTGGAATCAGGTGTTCCAATCACTTCCATGGCCACAGGTGTATAAATTCAAGCACCTAGGCATGCAGACTGTTTTTACAAACATTTGTGAAAGAATGGGTCGCTCTCAGGAGCTCAGTGAATTCCAGCGTGGAACTGTGATAGGATGCCACCTGTGCAACAAATCCAGTCGTGAAATTTCCTCGCTCCTAAATATTCCACAGTCAACTGTCAGCTGTATTATAAGAAAATGGAAGTGTTTGGGAACGACAGCAACTCAGCCACGAAGTGGTAGGCCACGTAAACTGACGGAGCGGGGTCAGCGGATGCTGACGCGCATAGTGCGAAGAGGTCGCCAACTTTCTGCAGAGTCAATCACTGCAGACCTCCAAACTTCATGTGGCCTTCAGATTAGCTCAAGAACAGTGCGCAGAGAGCTTCATGGAATGGGTTTCCATGGTCGAGCAGCTGCATCCAAGCCATACATCACCAAGTGCAATGCAAAGCGTCGGATGCGGTGGTGTAAAGCACGCCGCCACTGGACTCTAGAGCAGTGGAGACGCGTTCTCTGGAGTGACGAATCGCGCTTCTCCATCTGGCAATCTGATGGACGGGTCTGGGTTTGGCGGTTGCCAGGAGAACGGTACTTGTCTGACTGCATTGTGCCAAGTGTAAAGTTTGGTGGAGGGGGGATTATGGTGTGGGGTTGTTTTTCAGGAGCTGGGCTTGGCCCCTTAGTTCCAGTGAAAGGAACTCTGAATGCTTCAGCATACCAAGACATTTTGGACAATTCCATGCTCCCAACTTTGTGGGAACAGTTTGGAGCTGGCCCCTTCCTCTTCCAACATGACTGTGCACCAGTGCACAAAGCAAGGTCCATAAAGACATGGATGACAGAGTCTGGTGTGGATGAACTTGACTGGCCTGCACAGAGTCCTGACCTCAACCCGATAGAACACCTTTGGGATGAATTAGAGCGGAGACTGAGAGCCAGGCCTTCTCGTCCAACATCAGTGTGCGACCTCACAAATGCGCTTCTGGAAGAATGGTCAAAAATTCCCATAAACACACTCCTAAACCTTGTGGACAGCCTTCCCAGAAGAGTTGAAGCTGTTCTAGCTGCAAAGGGTGGACCGACGTCATATTGAACCCTATGGATTAGGAGAGGGATGTCACTTAAGCTCATATGTGAGTCAAGGCAGGTGAGCAAATACTTTTGGCAATATAGTGTATATATATAGTCATAGTCATACCAAAGAAGTAAAAAAAAAACCAATCCACTGGACTTTGTTTCCAAGTTTGAAGACGTTTCTCTTCCATCCAGGAAGTTTTTTCAATCCAAAATGTCAGAAATAGCGTTTAGTTCCAGGTTTTATCCAGCAGCCCAACAAAGCCTGGTTTTAGTTTAGAAAACATGCAAATAGAAACGGATGAACGGGTCCCCCCTTTGGAATGGGGGTCGTTTGGCTTCTTTGTTAGCCTGCAATGCCCCATACCCGTCTATGTCTCTGAAAGGGGGGTCGTTAAAGGGAATTGTTGGCCTATTCTATTAAGCAAATCCAACAATTCCCTTTAACGACCCCCCTTTCAGAGACACTATTCCTGACATTTTGAATTGAAAAAGCTTCCTGGATGGGAAGCGAAATGTTTTCAAACTTGGAAACCAAGTCCAGTGGAATTTTTTAAGGGGATTTTTAGGAATATATATATGTATATATATACATATATATATCCCTCCAGCCTGTATTTTTTTCTCTGAATGATCTACCTCTTCTTCACAGCAGAGGAAATTTTGATAACTCTGACCGCTGAATTTGTGATTTTCTTTCTTCTTCCGCACCTTCTCAGAATGGCATGAGAAGCCATTAAAGCTCACTAAATTTTCCATTAAGAGGGAAGCATAGGTGTCAACAGGTTATAAGTCAAATGCTACGGACATGTCTTCCACATTCTGGTCTGTTCTCTCCGTGATAATATTACCATCACTCTTACTAGACCTTCACTGCCTTCCTACTCTGCCAATTTTACATTTTTGTCTTTTTCCATCGATGATCTTCCCTTTTCCATTTGTTAATCCTTTCGGTTTTCTTTTTCTTCTGCTCTGCTCTCCATCACCCCAGGCTCCCATCCTTTAATGTGAGTTAGCATCCATCTACAGTGATCAATATCGCAAAGCTTTTGTTAAATGCTGCTCTTATGCATCCGAGACTTAGCGTGTGTGTTTGGGTCCGCCTGCCATCCTGTGAGCGTCTGGCTGTTTGTGTCCTGCATGCATGGCCAGACTTTTCTTCAATGTTAGCTCTGTTTTATGTTGCTTTTATTCAGTCAGAGATGCTAAAGAGAGAAAGCAGTGTTCCTTTCAGCTATTGCGTTGTGTAGAGGAGAAAGCATGCAGAAAGTGGTGTGTTTTAGCATGTTGAATAGGAAGTCGTTATTGATCTGGAGTGCTAGTCATGTTTCAAAGTCTGGACTTGGATCAAGAAGCGCACATGTACAGATTCCTACTACGTGTGTTTGTCACTCTTCTTTCCTCATTCCAGCAACTCTTAGTGGATTAAAAGTCCTTGAACCAGTAGGTGAGGAGTTGAAGGTGTTCAGCTTCACATAGACACATTCCTGCACGCCTTCTCAGTGGTGTGTATTTGTGAAAGCGAGCTGTCAGTGCTGCTCTCACACACCATTCATCACAAGCTACTAATTCTGTTAGACCATTGTGGAGCCTTTTGCACCCCACGTTGCTCTCTGAAAACTCAATCAGAGGCTAATGCCCCCAACCCCTTTCTAACGCACACACACACACGCACAAGCTCTCACTTTCGGTTTCCGCCTCACACACACATGCTCACGGATGCCCCGAGGGGACAGCAGTGGTCTTGGGAGGCCACACCAGCTCAGCTCCATAAGTGTTGCTTGTGTTTGATGGACAGGAGAAGCCTGACCTTAGTTACTGCTGCTGTGAGGTGCTACAGCAGGGATCTAACCGGGCAAATCAGAAAGGAAAAAAAAACCTGTGTTATCACTAAAGAATTAATGCATGTCTCATCGTTCCTCTCCAATATAAAATGTGGGACTTATAAAGCGTTCTGTCTTACAATCTACAGTGTTGAAACAAAATCAGCCTCTAAATCTAATAAAAAATAAATAAATCAGACAAAATCTCTTAAAAGCATGTTTACTTAATACACACATCCCAGGTTCCAGGGTACAGCGGACCCACGCCGTGCACCATACTTACACACTTAAGGCCAGCAACTTCTCAACAACAAACTAACAGTAATATCTTAAACACAAAACAGAACAGTATTGATCTTTTATTTTCAATGCTTTCAGTCTTGTAGCCTTGAACATTAATGCACTATTTTTGCACGCCACGTTATCACTTTACTTGGATTTTCACTTAATTTGGATTTAGTTTTTACATATGCATAGATATACGTACAGATATATATACAGAAGAGCTATATGTGTATATATTTGATCTCTTTTTATTCTTATTTTTTATCTTTATTATATTGTATAGTTGGATGTTTTTTTTTGTATTTTGTATTTTTTTTGGGGGGGGGGGTTGTTTAAAGGTTTTTACCTGCTTCTGGACCAATTGTAAATATATCCTGACACTCACGAAATAAATGGAGGATAAAAGGAAGAAAACTGTGTGGTCCTTTGAGTAAAACCCTGTTGAACAAAGTCTGCATCAATCTATCCATCCCTTTTCAAGTGGGGAAGCTGCATAAGAATAAAAATAACTTGACAGTGTATATATTATATAAAACTGTACCTGGAGCGTTTAACAAAAGTTATTT